GCATCTGAAGACTTGTAGAGTCCAGTCTCCATACCAGTACATTTAAAACAAAACTGGTTTTCCTTGGTATAAAACAAAAATCAATTTTCTGCTCCTAATGACTGATTTTTTTCTGCTAGGAACTGCCACTCTGTTATATGAGGTGGAAATTCTGTTAACCTTGCCAAGTTCTTTCCCCCATGGCAATAAATTACTTTAAAAGTATTAGTAACTCAGATTTTAGCATACTTGTTATTTTTTGTTTATGTATATTCATTCATGTATTAGTGTCTGTTGCTGTAACAATATTCAAGAATATACAGTATTTTGTAACGTATGATGTTTTTCATGGTTTTAAGTCCTTATTGGTATCATCCTTCAAAGACAATTAAATATTTATTTTATCCTAATTTCCAGGTAAAGAAGATACTCCCTCATTACTTGGTCTCTGTGGGTCCCTAACATCAGTGGCAAGTTACAAATCTCTAACTAGCCTAAAATCTAATGACTATCTTGCAAGTCCTACAACAGAGATGACAAGTCCAGGCCTAACTCCATCCTGAGGAATTTTATGTAAAAGCCAAAAGATTTTATGTTGCCAGTGTTCTATTTACACAAGTGTGACTGCTGGGAAAACCTTTGGATTTTATATTGTTCTGGTACAAGTCTGGGATGCCGTGGTGTAGAGAGTTCAACCCACTCCATGCTGAGTGAAAAAAAGACGGTCCGGCCATTTCTCATTTTAAAGTTCTTGTATTTGTCACTGAGGAAGTTTCAAATGACATTCAAAGATTGTCTAAATTAATAATCCTTTAAATTGTACATATTTATTATTCAGTTGATTTTCATATAATTTAACGTATCATAATTGCTAGAGACTGAGTTCAAGGTTTTATTCCAGAGACTTAAGCTACATATTTTCTTTCCTCTTTATTCAGTGATTGAAAAACTTCTAAAAATGACTTAGTCATTTTATTTTTCATTAATTTCTTCTAAGATTGTAATGTTTAAAAGCCTTGTTTCTAAAATAAGGAGAATGTTTTCAGCTGCAGTCTGACAGTGGCTTATTCAGTTTTTCTTTAAGTTATTATCATTTGGTTATCAATGTTAACATTCCACTTAACATTTTATAAATTTTGTAGGAATGTGCGATAGGCAGTTACTAAATTTGTTAGTGTCACAGGGAAAGTACTTTACAATATTTTAGGCCATTTAGGTAAAATGAATACATTTTTTATTCTTTGTCTCCCCCAAATTTTCTTAACAGGTTGTCAATCAAACACGATCAAATATGCCTCAAAAATTAAACGTTAAAGTGTAACAGATGGTGAAAAAGTATTTGATCAGCAAAAATTCGAGGTTCAGTGAAGTGTGAGCTGCTTCTGCATCAGGACGGGCAGGGTGCCGCGTGGTGTCTGGCCCCCGTGTTCCTTCCGCCCCTGCTTTGCGGCCATGAGCTATGTCTTGTGACGCTTACAGCTCTTGTCATTGATCAGGCCGCAGTTTCATGTTAAAGTTGATGTTGAAAACCCCTGCACTTCTACAGGCAAAACATAGTTTCCTTTTTAAAAAAAGCTATGAGCTGTATTTTAAACATTTTTGCAATTTTTTGAACTATACATTTTGTCCTGAAAAATTCCACCATATTGGAAGAGAAAATGTATTATTTTCTAAAGTAATATGAGGAAAACCACGATCAGTTGTGCCAAAGAAGTTTTATACATTGTTTACATGAAGAGGCTACAATACTTCTTGGGACTTAATACATGCTATATTTTTGTTTCTTAATAAAACATTATATTCAAACTTAGTAGCTTTGACATATAGGAATAATGTTCCTCCTAAAGCAATTTATTTTCTTTGAGAGGAGGCAAGAAGTGCGAACTTATCACATGCATTCTTTGTATTAGAAATGTAGGAGTGTGGCGGTTCTCTACCATCTTTGGAGCTTTACTCTCATAATTTGGAATTTAATATAGTAAATAATAACAAAGCTAGTCTTGTATGTAAAACAGTTCAAACAGCGTCATTTCAGGGACAAAGGAGGCCTGAAACCCCTTTTAAAAAGTTATCTTAGTTGTTCCAGAACTACTCAGAGCTTTTATTACTTTAGCTTAAGACTTTAGTATTGTACTTACAGAAATGCAAATATTCTTGAGAAATGGTACCTTTAATCTCTTAATTCTGTATATGTTATTGTCAGTGAGGTGTTCAAAGCAATTTTTACCCTGCATGGGGGGTAGAATGTATAAAATGAGGACAGTGGAAATCTTGGGAGGAGGAATGAGAATGGTTTGGGAGGGGAACCTCAACACTTTCAGGCTGGCCTTAAGCACTTCTGCTGCTTTCCTAACAACTCTCAGAATGTTTAAACGCTTTCTCATCCATGGTCGACTCTCAACTTGACACTTTCCTTCCATAATTTAAAAAAATCATTGTTAAATTTTTCCATACTTTTTTTATAACACAGAGAGTTAATTCAGGATTCCATAATTAATAACATTTTTCAGATTTGTCTAATGTATACTGTAACCTGTGCATCTTAATGTGCTGCTAAACGCAGATCTAAACATGACACCTGACGATCATGACTTTCCCTCCTTTCTTGGAGCTCCTGGTGTACAATCCATCTGCTAATGTGAATTCCGGTTTCTACAGAGTTCATTTCATACTAGTTAGAGATGGTTAGTGTGTGCATGAGGAAACAACTTAAGTCTCAATCTTTAGTTTTAGGTGATAGTGTTTATTTACAAACCCTCCCCAACATAGAATGCTGAATTACATGCTAATATTTCTATGTGTATTTTGTTGCCTTGATGTATTATCCTTGCTGCATGTATATTAAACATTTTGTACTATGCATTAGTGGTCTTATTTTATCCTTGATGAAAAGTTACTTGATTCAGGTTGCACACTGAACTAAGAAATACGATAAATGTGTATTACTCAATGCCTAAAATACTAATATGAAGATGGTTTTGGAGAAATCCTTATTTCAACTCAGATAAAATAAAATACATTTTATTTTTTAAAAAACATGACACGCCTTCGAATACTCAGCAGCTCTTTCGGCGGCCCTCTGCAGCAGCGGCCCTGGCAGCATCACCGACTGGAGCATGTAATGGCCACCGTCTGTTTTCTCACCTGTCAAAGGAAACATCACCGTATTCTCAGCACCTGTGTGACGGCATCAGGATGATGTCAGCATTAAGTGAACTCACACGTATCACTTTGTAAGAGGTGAGTGCCAGATGCAAGCTACTAATTAGGATTGACAGAAACTCTAAGTCAGTTTCTAAGTCATTCTTGATTTTCATACAAGTTTTCAGGTGGTTAAAAATATCTCAGATTTGCAACTTATGGAAATTCTTACCAAGTTCTATCATTAGGTAAAATCTCTGACTTTGATAAACCGATACACTGGATTACCTCTGAAATGTCACATGACTGCTCTGAAAAATCAGAGGCCTTATATTTTTTTAGCTAGTTCACTGGGCTCTTCCTTTAAGTAAAGCAGCTTCTATGTAGGTTCAGCTTTTGTTCTTTTTAACTGATAGGGAGGGGGAGATAAATTTATAATCAGTGTCATTAACCTTTTAAAAGCCTATTAAAGTCCAAACCAAACTTTTAGAATGTTTTTAAATAGGTCACCTTATTATAAATCACATTTTCCATACTGTCCATTATTTTGCTAAAACCAAATTTTCGCTACAGAACACTTGGCCTATCATGTGCATACAGTAATGTAGAAAGGCCTGGTGTCTTCTGTGTTGTGCTAATGCTATCCTATTTTCTTTTGTGAAAGATAAATGCTGCTGTTGCAAAAGACCAAAACCCTAACTCTGTAATTGCTAGAGTTGTACCTGTTTCTTTCTTGGTTCTTGTTTGGCACACAAGGCCTCTGACTACGTTCCTAATCTGACCTCCTGCCACATTGCTGTGTGGCACATACACCCTCTGCGCAAAGGGCTGGGACCCCATCCAGTTGCCTGCCCCAGGTATGTTTCATTTGCACCACTGTCCTAATCGTGGAGGCATTTCCTGCCCACTTCCTCTCTGTGCCCAGGGTGAGTGAAGAGCCCCTCAGCTTTCCCCTTAACCCCCTCACACACCTCAATCAATCATAGTTCTGAAACCTACTTGAGGCCAGTGACAGTTTCAGAACCATCTTATCTCCAGTGTTTTTCCTGCTGCCACCCCATGAAAGGGCCCAATAAGTGTTGAATGGCAGATTACATTTTGGGGAAAAGCTCAAAAGTGATAGGCGAAATTTTCTGACATCCCTGGAATTTGTGCCCTGGAACAAGGGAGGGAAGAATTTAAAGGAGGCATGTATGGTAATGCATAGTGAATAATTTTCCTAGAAATACAAGGAAAATTTATTTTTATATCTATTTGTTTAAAAAGTCAAATATGTATTATACAAAAAGTAGCAAACAGTACTAAGACCTTTCTTAAAATTTACACAAAGTAAGTATGTATGTTAGAAAATTTATCATTAATAAAATGAAACTATTTCCTTCAGAAACATTACCAAGAACACAATCTGTAGCCAAACTCTCGGTGGTTGCTACTTTTTTTAAAAAAGAAAAGTATTAATGATTATTTACTGAAGTAGAGAAAAGACTGAAGCGTTCCTTCATCCTTCCTCTCATCCAGATACAGTGCGTGTAGACGCGTGTTAGAAAATCTAGGAGATTAGACTCAGCTTATTTTAGTCATAAATAGCAACAATCTTCCACAAGTACAGTCAGTATTGGGGGTACAGCAGGAAATTTTCCTTCTGGTATTTATAAGCAGACATGTGACTGCTTTTTGAAGTACAGTCCTTAATTTCAATATTTCTGCCTTTTTCTACCAGTAAGTTATCAAAAAGAAGCAGTAATACCAGGGTAAGTTTAGTACTGTTAAATGGCAGCGTTCAAGATAAACGTTCACACACGTTATATGAAAATATTTAGCTAAAGACAGTGGTAATTTTAACATATTTTAATGAAAACTTAAAATCATAAATATTTCATGTTTTTATGGACATGTTACAAATTTAATGTAAATCAACAGGATAAGAACACAAAAGGTTACGTACAAATTCTATACACTTTATTTCTGATAAGACATTTAAGCTCTTTTCTACTATAATACAAATACATGAATTCTTCCATGAACACTAGAGATTTATCACCTAAATATATTACCTATTTTAGGGGCAAAAATGCTTCACATTTTCATGTGAAGCATTTCAATACACACAGACTTCAATAAAGTGCTTTTTCTTAGGAGTATATATGTCCTAAGACATTCAGACAAATATAAAAAGAGAATATAATTTCTTACAGTTATAACCTAAATTACTTAGGCATTAGCCTGTAGTGACCAAAAGCTATTTCTTCAAGAAAACTGCCGTCTGTTTAGTCTCTTGTTGTAGCATTCTAATGTTAGGTGTATATCATCAAAGGAAATTTTGGAAATATTCTGTGACTGATAGTGAATTAACAATATCAAATTTAATACAACAAGCAAATAGCGGAGTAACCTAGAGAGCTCCACAAACAGTGATACATGAATTACGGCATGGATGTGCCAAAGCATTATTGTTACTAGTCTAAATACAATGTTTTCCACTCTACACCCATATTTGACTTTGGTGAACATTTCATACAATCAGCAAAACCACTCCGTCTTGCAGAAATAATGGTAACCTTATTTCTTTAATATCTAACTCAGATTATTGCTTCCAGTATTAAGGAAAAGTTTTTCGTTTTATTATAAAAAGCTCTGTGGTTGTGGTTTCTGGAAAATCTCTCTCAATATTTCAAAAATTAGGATAACAAAACTAATTTTAAAATAAGGATTATGATGTAGAATCAAGGTAGAAACTCATCTCCATTATTGGCAGGAAAGATACAAAATCTTTGTAAGATAACATAAAGGCCCTGGCCTAAGAAGTCTCCACCTTACTATCTGGCCGTGGTTATTTCCAGTTGAAACAGCATCACTAGTATTGCTGTCTTTGAGCATTTTGTTTCTGGAAAAAATCCTTTCCAAATTCATATGTACTGATCATAATGGCACAAGCAGGAGCAATTTTAACTAAACGGGGAATTGTGCCTGCAAAGAGAATAGAAAAAAAAATCAGGACAAATTTTACCTTATTTCTAAAATTTTAAATTATTTGGTTTCATTCTGATGATCAAATTAAACGAGTGATACATCAAACATAGTGCCATAAACTGGTATCAAAGAACAAGACAAACTTAGTGCCGACCTCCGCACTTTAACTTCATGTTACTTTCTATAGAAATTTTAATTTAAAACATTTTTAAACTTAGAGAAAAGATGTTTAGGAGAAATCATAAATGTGAAATGTTTTCAATAGTTTCTGGCTGAAAAGTAAATTTAGGAAGGATACATTTAAAAGTAAAAGTAATTTGAGTCAATGATTTGGTAAAGCAAATATTTTTACCTGTAAATAATCCAGAAAACCCATTCCTAGCAACAATGTTCTTCATGATAGCCCAGGTTGACATGGGTGCAGAAACTAAATGTTAAAAAAAAATCATTATAAATTACCACTTAATTTCTAAGTGACCTTTGGGATTCAATAAAAGAAAAAAAATTAGAAAAGGCTTTAAGTTTAAAGGTGTGTAGGACTAGATATAATCAAAGAGGAATATAAAGAAGGCTTCTCCTGAACTGTTACCAATGTTCGTTTCTTAAGCTTGGTAGTGGATAGTGTTTATAGTTTTTCTACATCTTAAAAACTTTCATAATGAAAAAAAAATTAAAGATGTATAGAAATATCATGGGGTTCCCTAAGCCAAAGAGAAGTCCTGATAATCATTAAATTTTTATTGCACATATTAAAAAAGTTTTTTCCCTAGAAAGAGGTTCTGAAGAAAATAGCTCATTCTTCCTAGTGAGGTACTGCTTTATTAAACCTTTTCTGAATATCCCTGGCTGGTGTGGCTCCGTGGATTGAGCACTGGCCTGTGAACCAAACAGTTGCTGGTTTGATTCCCAGTCAGGGCACATGCCTGGGTTGCAGGGCCAGGTCCCCAGTAGGGGGCACACAAGAGGCAAGCTACATTGATGTTTCTCTCCCTCTCTTTTCCCCTCCCTTCCCTCTCTCTAAAAATAAATAAATAAAATCTTAAAAAACAAAATAAAACATTTCTGTATAGCTGTGCCAGTCTTGAAACAAATTAGATTAGTCCTGACTCCTCCACAGGGCAGATTTACCCTCTAAAACAGTAACATCTCATTACTTGCAACCACTCAAATAATTAGGACCTATAAAACATTAATTTATATTTTAAAAAGCCAGCAAAACTAGATTTAATTGATGTTCATGCATAAAGCTTATGGATGAGCAGTAAATACACAAATTCACTTATCTTAATTTTACACAGTGATCTAAGGAGGTAGTATAGCCCACAGACTACTAGATGCAATAACTAAAGAGGTCTGCATACTACTACCATGTGAACACTGAACCAGCTGACAGGCTGAAGATTTCAGTCTTTATTTGAGATGAACAAAAACACTCTGATATTTACCTCACTAGCTTCTGAGAACTGCATTACAAAACTCATGTACATTGTGAACTCTGGGTCATTAAAAAGATTAAATCACACATTATTAAGCATGCCTAAGAAAAAAGGGAAAGATGAGAGAGATATATGTCAAAAATGGCTTTTAGAATTTTGCCATTTAATGCAGTGGGCTTATTACTCTTGTGCTCTAGGGTTATATATATTGGCAAGTGTAGCTATATTTTATACATTTTAATTGCTGTATGGTATTACATTATATGGATTGTCACAATTTGGCCATTTCCCTGCCAGGCACATCTAGATGGTTTCTAACTTTTGGGGACTTGGAATCCTTCAGTGAATATCCTTGTCCGTGTGCAAAAGTTTCTCTAGGACCCATACCTGGGAGTGGAGCTGCTTATTCAAAATGTATTTCTTGATATTGCCAGATTATTTTCCAAAGCAGTTATTCCAAATTTATAGTCTCACCTGCAAAGGATGAAAATCCCCATTGCTCCACATCCTCCCCAACAATCCAGTGCCTATACGACGTTCTCCTACTGCTATTCTAGTTGGAATTTTCCTCATTAATATTAAGATAGAGCACTTTTGGAAGTTTATTAGCCAAGTGCAAACATTTTTAAATGATTTTAAAATTTCTGTGTAAGTATTTTAAGATATTGAGTATGTTCAGAGAAAAAGAAGTGTAACCTGTGGAAAACAGATCTCAGCCAGGTTTAAAAAGCTGAAACCAGAGGTTTAACTTTAAGAAATTAAATATAATGCCCCAGCTGGTGTGGCTCAGTGGATTGAGTGCCAGCCTGTAAACCAAAAGGCCACCGGTTTGATTCCCAGTCAGGGCACATGCCTGGGTTGTGGACTAGGTCCCCAGTAAGGGGCGTGCAAGAGGCAACCAATTGTTGTATCTCTTGCATATTGATGTTTCTCTCCCTCCTTCTCCCTCCTTTCTCATCTCTCTAAAAATTAATACAATCTTTAAAAAAAAATTAAATATAAATAATGTGTTTATAAGTGAAATAAAGGTTAGCTCTGTTATAGGATGTAGCAGCTATTAAACCCTAATGTGCCTCTCCACTAGATTACGAGCTCTTTGAGGACTTGATTACCTCCTCATTTGTCTGCGTACACCAGCATGGTGCCCAACCAAGTAGGCACTCAGTCTGTAGTCGACCACTTAATGGATGAAGGATGGGAGACATGTTCTCAGTGCATTGATACAGAGATTGTATTCTTCAGTGGAACTGACCATATATATATATTTTTTTGCTCAGAGATAAAGGATGTGGTATAGCTGAGCTATGGAATGGAGGAATCCATTTCCAATGGAGCTGATTTACTTTTTTTCATGGGGATAAATAACAAATAGAAACGAGAAAAAAATGGGCTTTTATCATTTGGATCAGAAGTGCAATTTGCAATAGAAACATATCTTGCTAAATATAAATGGTTCATAGCTGAAGCCGAGTAACAAGCAAAAGTGACCAACAATAATCATGGGAAATTAAGACCCAAGGCTTACTATTGAAGGTTTATCCTTTCTGGTTTAAATAGGGAAAGAAACATTAATTAGAAAAAAAAAGTGATAGATACGAGGTAAATTGAGTGAAAGAAGATGCCTCTTGGCTGCCAGTCGCAATGAGGATGTAGGGTCACCTAACCAACATTTTCAAAATATACAAGCTGGAGCTCCACCTTACGTCTATTAAGTAGGAGTCCACTGGGGGTGGTGCTCCGCTTTTGGTGTTGTGGGAAAAACACCCCAGGCAACTGCAATGATTATTCACCTCGGTAAGTGGATCTCTAAACTCAGTGTGCATGAGAATCTATGTCCAGAGATTCCCACCTTCTCCCCCATCGTCACTATGACTACCATCGCCACCTCACTACCTCACTGCCACAGTCATCAAACATTTATGACAAATTACATCAAAGACAATATTCCTACTACATTAAGTAGTTTACTTAACAATAAAAACAGGAATTCTGATGAGCTGGAAGGAAGATAAAATAATTTTGAACTATAAAGGGAGAAAAGACGATAGGGCTTAGGCAGCTAGAAAGCTCAAACCTAAACCAGGGGAACCCTGATAATAAATCTCTAAGGTTTTAGTTTGCTTCTATTAGAGGGGACTAGACTTTTGTAAGTCAAGAACAAAGTTGTCACTAGTATTCACCAGACTCATTTTCAGAGGTCTATAATCAATGTTTCTTTCAACATTAGAACACCCATTTTATTTTGTATGCAAATATTCTGATGGGTTAGAACAATTTATTTACATTATAATATGTTTACACATGGCATATATGATGCAATTTTGTAATGGGTAATTTCCAGTAGGTTTGCTACACTTTCTACAGATAATAAACATTAACAGAATGGATCTAGTGGACACAAGGAAGACCGTACACTCCTCGTGCACTTTTGTTCGAGAAGAAACTGTAGGTTATAAAGAAGTAAAAATAAATGGAATAACAGGATAACACATCAGAAGAAGGGAAGCTAAAAATAAATAGAAAAAATCAAATAAAATGTATATGCATACTATGGAACAAAACACAGAGAAAAAAGGTTTCCTAGTAATTTACTATCCTTCACCCTGATTTGTCCAGATCTATTTGAAAAACATACTTACATAATTTAATCTTCTACTTAGACCAGGTATAAGATTCAACTCATGGCAGGCAAAATAAATAGACTAAGATTTCTTAATTTTTTGTTTAGAGTATTTTTCCTGAGTATTCCATTCTAAGAGTATATTACTTTCCATTAAAGAGTAAAAGCAGAGGGAAAAATAATTCTCTCCCTATTCATATATTCTTAACTTAGTATCTGGAAAGAAAAACAAAAATTTTCATGACATCTTAAAAAAGTTTTAAATTAAACTTACTTTTATGACATTCATACATCCAAAGTTGTGTCTGCTTTTGTGTTTTTACCACATCAAATGGCAATGTCACAATAGCTGCAAACTATCAAAAAGAAAAATTGATTAATTTAAACCTGCCTTTAAAATTTCCTAAAATTACATTCTTTTAATTAGCACATTACTTAATAATTTATTGTTGTGTGTGGTGTAAGAAGATGGTCTAGCTTTATTTTTCTGCATCTGTCCAATTTTTCCAACACCATTTATTGAATAAACTTTAACTTGTTGTATGTGCTTGTTTCCTCTGCTGAATATTATCTGACTGTAAAGACGTAGGTTTATTGCTGGGCTCTTTATTCTGTTCCACTGACCTATGTGTCTGTTCTGATGCCAGTACCATGCTGTTTTCACGACTATGGCTTTATATACAGTTTATAGGTACTGTGATTCCTACGACTCTGTTCTTCTTTCTCTTCTTCTTGCTGTGGCTGATACATTGCTGGTGGTATTACAAATTGTTACACCTGTTATGGTAAACAGTATGAGGTCCCTCAAAAAATTAAAAATAGAATTACCATGTAATCAAGCCATTGCACTTCTGTGTACATACCTAAAGGAATTGAAAGCCAGGTCTTGAAGATATAGTCATGTGGGGGGAGGGCCAAAAAAACCCCAGAATTTATTCATAAAAAATTGTGTATTTATTCTCACACGTTTAAACTTCAGTCACCTTCAAAGTACTCTCAATTGGATGCAATACACCTATCAGAACATTTTTTCCTCTGCTCTAAAAAGTTTTTGAACTTGTCGATTTTGATGCCTTTTAGTGCTTCTGCCATTTTTTTTCCACCTCTTCCACATCAGCAAAATGTTTCCCTTTGAGGACTTTTTTCATCCAGGGGGAAAAAAAAATCTCTCAGGGCGAGATCAGGTGAATAGGGAGGGGTGGGTACAGGGGTCATGGTGTTTTTGGTTAAAAACTGCTGAACACTCAGTGTGGTGTGAGCAGGTGCACCCATAAGTCACCCATCATGAAATGAGCAAACATGTTGAAAGAGTCTTTAAAAAAGAATTCACTGAAGCTTAACGCAGCCTCTCACAACAACACCAGCTGGTGAACTGACACAGATGGTTTTCTTGAACACTCATCTAGTGGCGGGGGGCTGTACTACAAGGGGCCTGCCCTCCAGACATCCATTCCAGGTTTTTTGGGGTCCCCCTCATATATGTACTACAACAAAAACAGACACAAAATGCATTTTAAAATATTTAAATGGCTGGTAATTTATTTCCTCAAAATAGGATAGTAAATATTTAGAAAAATTTTAAAACAGTGCAGCTCAAAAGTGCTATTTGAAAAGACACAAAATGTATATTTTGTTATGTTTAAATAAGACAATTATCATTATTCTAGCATATTAACAACAAAAGAATAAACTTACAGAACCAGACAATGCCCCTGAAGTGAAGTTGATCATAAATGTCGGTTCATACACACCCAACTTCTTACACAACCACTTCTTTAAAACTTCATAGTTATACCAGTACATTGCTATAAAAACAGAATGAAATGAACACATAATTAGAAATGAAATGCGGACTTTAAAGAAAATATTTATGAGGTCATATATTAAAGGAAAGGAGACACTCCAATCTGTACACATCATTCTTTCTATTTGTACATGTATTAGGTGAGATTTTTTTTAAAAGGCACCAAATTCTCAATAACTTGCAAGCAGTCTTATAAACAAACAAAAAAACTATCCATCAGTGAGGGAGGACTTCAGTTCCAAAACCTGACAAAGACAATAGGAGAAAGAAAAGTGCAGGCCAATCTCATTCACAAACATACGTGTAAAATCTTAACAAAGATTAAATAATGAAGAGCAACTGAAGCCAGAGGTATTTCATAAAGCATCATACACTATGACTAGATGGGTTTATCTGAGGAACTCAAAGGTGGCAAATACAATAAACCCTTCAGATGCCATATATCACCTTGACAGAACCACAGGGTCACTTGCATTGAAAGCAAACCGGTTTCTTGGAAACAGGGTTAAAAGAGAACTTCTTTAACTTGATAAAGCACATGCACCAAGGACATGATGCTGGGATCACTACCTATCCACCTGCAGAGGTACATGAAGTTGAATACTTACTTCACTCCATCACCCCAATTAATTACAGATAAATGAGTGACCAACGAAACAGTGCCCAACCTCCGTAATGATCAGAAAAATGTAAGTTAAGGAGACATAACCACTTTAAATGACTAAACAAAGATTAAGAACTGAGACAATAAAAGTGCTGGGGACAGTATGCAGTGAAGCTGATAGGTGTGTAGGTCCACACAGCTACATTAAAAATGTCTGTATTACCTAGTAAAATTTTGAATGTATGAACCAGCAAATCTAATATTGGAGAAATTCTTGTATACGTACACTAGCAGACATGTAATGTTCACAGCAGCATTGTTTGCTTACACATAAACATGAGTAAAAATGAAGAAAATAGTTATAAAAATAAGAGTAAACCTTAATTTTTCTTTATTAATTATAAGAAAACAATTCCATTTACTATTGCAATAAAAAAATGGTACCTGGGAATAAATTTAAACAAGACAGTAAAAGACCTGTACTCAGAATATTAAAGGACATTGAAAAAAGAAATTGAGGAAGATACAAAGAAGTGGAAGTACATACTCTGTTCATGGCTTGAAAAAATTAACAACATTAAAAATGTTCATACTACCCAAACTAATATGTATAGTCAATGCAATTCCTATGAACAAACAAATGGCATACTTCACAGGTCTAGAACAAATATTCTAAAATATTTATATGGAATAAAAAAAGACCCTGAATTGCCTCAGCAATCTTGAGAAAGAAGAACAAAGTTGGAGGGATCACAATGCTTGATATTAAACTATACTACAAAGCCACGTGTAATCAAAACAGGCATATAGATCAATGGAACAGAATAGAGAGCCCAGAAATAAACTACGTCTTTATGGTCGATCGGTATTTGACAAAGGAGGCAAGAGCATACAAGGGAATAAAGAGAGTCTCTTCAATAAACTGTGTTAGGAATATTGGAGAGGTACATGCAAAAAATGAAACTAGCCCACCAACTTAAATATACACAAGAATAAACTCAAACTGGATAAAAGACTTCAATGTAAGTCACAAAACTATAAAAATCTGAGAAGAAATCATAAGCACTAAAATCTCAGACATCTCTTGTAGCAATATTTTTTGCCAATATTTCTACTAGGTAAAGGAAACAAAGGAAAATAAATGAATGGGACTACACCAAACTAAAAACTCCTGCACAGCAAAGAAACCATAAGACAGCAAAGAGGGAACCCAGTGTTTGTGAGAATATATTTGCCAATGATACTGGATTGGCCAAAAACCAGTTTGTTTTTTTCCATAAAATAAAAGATACTTTTCATTTTCACCAATAACGTAATTGATTTGGATATTTTGAGTATGCCAGCTATCTCCCATGTGGAAATAACACTGATTGTTCTCAATGTCTCGATTTGATCACTATCAACTTCAATTAGTCTACATGACTATAGATCATCATCCAGTGAGAAATCTCCAGCAAGAAACTTCACAAACCACTTTCGACACAATCAGTCACAGCACTGTCTCCATACACTGCACAAATCTTTTTTTCTTTGTATTTCAGTTGTGTTTTTACCTTCTTTGAAATAATAAAGCATAAATATGCTGAAAATGTTGCTTGTTTTTTCCATCTTCAATATTGAAATGGCTACATAAAAATTCACCAATTTTGATAAGTTTTTTGTTAAATGCATGCTGATATGACACCTGTCACAATAGAATCTAACAAACTTGATTCGAATGAAGTTAAAGAAAACTAAGTGCTACTAGAGCCATCCTACAGAAAGAAAAAGAAATGGACTTTTTGGCCCAGCACATCTGATAAGGGGTTAATTTCCAAAATATATAAAGAACTCAATACCAAGAAGATAAAAAAATTCAATTAAAAAATGGGTAAAGCCACATCTATTTAACACAATATTGGAAGTCCTGCGATCAGACAAGATAGAGAAATAAAAGGCACCCAGATTAGAAAGGAGGAAGTAAAACTGCCATTGTTTGCAGATAACAATGATAGTATACATAGAAAACACTATAGACTCCACCAAAAAACTACCTGACCTAGTAAGTGAATTGTGCAAAACAGCAGGATACAAAGTCAATATTCAGAAGAAGAAGGCATTTTTGAACACCAACAACAAAGTGTCAGAAATAGAAATCAAGAAAAAAATCCTATTTGCTATAGCAACAAGAAAAATAAAGTACCTAGGAATAAACCTAACCAAGGAGGTAAAAGACTTATACTCAGAAAACTACACAACATTGAAGAAAAAAATTAAGGAAGACACTAATAAATGGAAGCATATACCATGTTCATGGATTTGAAGAATAAACATCATCACAATGTCCATAGTACCCAAAGCAATTTATAGATTCAACACAACCCCTATTAAAATACCTATGATATATTTCACAGATACAGAACATTTCAAAAGTTTTATGGAACCCACATAAACAACACAAAATAGCTGCAGCAATTTTGAGAAAGAAGAATGAAGTAGGAGGGATCACAATACCTGATATCAAACTATATTATAAGGCCACTGTAATCAACACAGTCTTGTACTGGCATAAGAACAGACACATAGCTCAGTGGAAGAGAATAGAAAGCCCAGAAATAATCCCAAGTTTCTAAGGTCAGTTAATATTTGACAAAGTGGGCAGAAGAATAAAGTGGAGTAAAAAAAATAGCTTCTTCAATCAATAGTGTTGGGAGAGCTGGACAGCTATATGCAAAAAAATGAAACATGACCACCAACTTACACCATACACAAAAATAAAGTCAAGATGGATAAAAGACTTAAATATAAGTAGCAACACTATAAAAGTCCTAGAGGAGAACATAGGCAGGATAATTTCAAAATATTCCATGCAACAATATCTTGACTGATATGTTCCCTAGAGCAGGGGACATAAAGGAAAGAATGAACAAGTGGGATCTCATCCAAATAAAAAGCTTCTGCACAACTAAAGAAAACAGTATTAAAATACAAAGAGAACCAACCATATATGAAAACATTTGCCAATGATACCTCAAACAAAGGTCTGATCTCCAAAATAATAAAGAAGTCACACGACTCCACTCTAGGAAGACAAACAACCCAATTAAAAATGGGCAAAGGACATGAACATACACTTCTCCAAGGAGGACATACAGATGGCCTGGAGAAAAGATGCTCAGCATCACTAGCCACCAGAGAGATGCAAATTAAAACCACAGTGAGATACCACTTCACACTGGTCATAATGGCCATCACAAACAAAGCAACAAACAAGCGCTGCCAAGATTGTGGAGAAAAGGGAACCCTAGTACACTGTTGATGGGATTGCAGACTGGTGCAGCCACTCTGGACAAGAGTATGGGATTTCTTCAAAAAAACTAAAAATGGAACTGCCTTTTGACCCAGCAATTCCACTACTGGGATTATAGCCTAAGAACCCTGAAATATCAATTCAAAAGAACTTATGCACCCCAATATTCATAGCAGCACCATTTACAATAGCCAAGTGCTGGAAGCAACCTAAGTAAATGAGTGGATCAATAAACTGTAGTACATTTACACAATGGAATACTACACAGCAGAGAGAAAGAAGGAACTTCTACCTTTTGCTACAGCATGGATGGAACTGGAGAGTATAATGCCAAGTGAAATAAGCCAGTAGGTGAAAGACAAATACCATATGATCTCACTTATAAGTAGAATCTAATGAATATACTCATGAGGAAAATAGGACCAGAGACATGGAACAGGGAGCAGACTGACAGCTTAAGAGGAAAGAGGGACAGAGGGGAAAACTGGAAAGAAGGGGAAGGGATTAGTCAACATATATGAATGACCCATGGACATGGACAATGGTGTGGGGATTGACTGTGGGTGTGGGTTGTGGGGTGTGGGCTGGGTAGAGGGGGGCACAGGGGAAAAATTGGGACAACTGTAATAGAATAAACAATAAAAATATTTTTTAAAACCATCTTAATAAAGATTGTGTATAACAAAAGAAAAATATAAGGTAGAAGCTATCAATGGGTAGAAGCTACCAATACACCAATGTTATACTAGAGGAGAATATATGCGGTTTTCTGGTTTCATGGTTTTATAATCCGCAATGTTCTAGTTCATATACTGAAGTTGCGTAGTATATTTTATCATTTATATTGAAGTTACTTTTTCTGTGTCAAATATCAAATAGTATAAAAATAAAAATATTTGGCCTAGGAATTTGATTAATTACATACTATGTTTTTAAACCGATCACAAAAGGCTGAAGCAAAATACTAATGAAAATAGAAAGATGCACAGAGATGTGAATAGGAGAGCCAAAGATATGATTAACGAAAAAGAAAAAAAGAAAGCAAAACATTAACACAAAGGTCCTTAGTAATTATTCCTTTCAGGCCTTAAATGAAAACTCCCATGATATACAAGAGAAATAGCACTGAAGTATGCACATGCGACAAGATATTTGTTAGCTTTACACTTCTTTTTCATAATTTTCAGCCATTTCATAATTTGACAAAATCTTAATCTTCTATCAGATTTATAATAGTCTTGTTTACAGGACACTGATTTAATGGGGAAGATTTTTGTCTTTGAAAATTGAAAAAGTAGGGGTCAGTATTATTCACAGGCAGTCTTAAATGTATTTTGTGATAGTCTGATTTGTAGTAGTTTTCTCATCTTACTAATTATGACTTGTTCAGAATAAGTTAAAGATAGTTTGTATTATCTAAATATAAATGAATGCCAATTAATGTTTGAACAGAAATTAAACACAAGAAAATACAACTGGGCTTGAATGAGAAACTATTCATTCGATGAAGACCCATAAGGCCCTGGGAGTCCAACACTGAACCAGGAGTTCCTGGTTACTAAAGAAGACAGCTCACCCTCAGCCTTTGGGATTAAAGTTTAGTTGATTTTAATGTAATACATAAATAAGACAAAGCTACTTAACATTTGGCAGATATGAATAAGGTAAATCCTACCTGAGAATGGTACATCTCTAAGAACAGTAGGAGCCCAGCCTCTCCAAAGGGAAATCCAACCATCTTCAGATACTTTCTTGCTGACAAAGTGATGCAGTTCCTTGTAAGAAAACTTCTTAGATTGCATGTTGGTTCTTATCAATTCTAATGGACTTATCACAGTTACTGCACCAACTGATACAAAGAACCAAATATTAAAAAACAAAACAGAGTCATGGACTGTGCAAACACACATGTAAAACTAATAGTTCACACATTTTATATTTTAAACTTCTATTCTGAAATGTCTGCAGACCTTAAAAATCAAATACCTAATGCCAACATACTGGTACAGATATTTTTTTCTTTGGTAAGGGTAATTCTTAAAGGTCTGTTTTCATATACCTCACTCTTTCTGGTTTAAAGTCTTTCAAGGGAAGTTCCAGAAATATTATACATCAACTAGAACTACAACAGAAACTTCACTACAACTGCACAGAGAAAAACATCCTTCTGCATAAAGGCAAACTTCCTTCTGATGAAATTCTGAATTTCAAAGTTTGTAAGAAAAATGATTGAGGACTTTTGCATCAATCTGATGTCATCCTAATATCCAGAATCTAAAGTCTAAAAGTCTAAAATCATTCTAAAATCTCTGTCCAAGATTTGACAAGGATGGGTTGATCCCATTTCTTTCTGATAACAATTACCATATCATATGACTTCTCGAGTATAAATACTACCAAATTAGCACAAACTACAAATGCAAAATATTTATTAGCAATAGTCTGAATTTTATACAAATTCTCTGTGAATGTCTAAATTATAAATGAAGCTTTGAATATTGATCAAAATGAAAATATAATAACTTATTACTTACATCTGGCTACAATTCCAGCAACAACTGGTATGTGGCTTTCATTTTCTCCTAATTTAGATTTCAGGAGAGCAGTTAATTGGTCATAGCAGGTAAAATAAATAACTGTGGCAGGAACTGCCATTACTCTGTTAGAAACATGCGAGCAAAAAGATTTGTATAAAATTATCAAAAATGCTTAAATACATTATTAAATACAAGCTAGATTTCTCATATTTTGTATAAGCAAAAAAATATAATGAATCAACCTATGAGATCAATTTTTCTTTTATTTTAAAAGTTATTAACTTAGTAGGCTGTAAAAAAAAAACAAGGTAAAATAGGTATCCACACTCCAGAAGTTTACATGCTAGCTGTGAAAATAAGTTAGAGTGCCAGTCAGACCATAAGTAGGAGACGATAGATGAGGACGCTTCTCTATCTCCTAGATGTGTTCTGTGTCTGGTCTTCCAAATATTGTAACATGAAAATCACTGAACTAAAAAGTACAAGAGCAATTGTAACATATTTTTGAACTATGGACCCATATACCTGCTTATAAAACTGGAAATAAATTATAATTAATGATGCCAGACTTATATATACTAGTATCAAAAAGATTCTGATAATATTCTTTCAAATGAAAATATCAAAAGGGAATTATTAACTAAACACAAAGTTGCAGGTACTACCAAGTCATAAATATTAATGCAGCAAGAATCCAGTCTATGATTATGGGTTAACTAAAGGACATTCACAGCCCATAATGTGGAATGACTAATGTTCTATAATGAAGTTTGATGATGAGAATTTTGAAATATGATTGACCACTGGTCTTGGATCTACCACTAACTTTATAAGTTAACGCAGTGTTTAAAATACATGCCTCAAGGTTGATTAATTTGCTCCATCAAAACATAAATTAGAAAGAAACAAGGTATATAAGGACAAGGTATTAGTTGGGAGTTTTAATTAAGCCTTATTAGTTTATCGTATTAATTCATATAATGGCCAGTTGGTAGAGAATTAGAATCATCTACAAAAGGAAAAGTGTCCTTATCACAATGTCTCATTATTTTATTAAAATAAAGAAAAAGTCATACATCAAATTCTCAATTTCTGAACATGAAAAGAAAGTTACGCTTGTGCACCAAAGAGAACACAACAAGCTTAGTTGCTCCAATCTTCTATATAGTCAGGAGGGCATTATTTGCATGCTTGACCTTTGGCCAACTCCAAGAAAGTTAGCCCTTGGAATATTCCCTATTAGCAGGTTTTTCTCTGCATCTGGAACTAAACCCACTTGTCTAGGTTGATTTGTGGAAATGATGTGATTTTTGGTAACATCTGCTTTTCTTCTAGGGGTCTGGAATTTTGGTAATCAGAGTTGGTCACAAACACCGAATGTGCCCATGCCACGCACCCTTGACAAAAGCCCCAGACTCTAAAATTCAAGTGCGAATTTAGGCAGAAACACTTCTCACATGCTGCTCTAGTTCAGTGCTGAAAGAATAAATGCATCCCCGGTGATGTCATAAGGGAAGACTCTGGAGCCTATTGCCTGGTCAACTTCTTTTGTGTCTTTCCCCCCACTGATGCTTTGTGTCTTTTTGTAATGAACCACAGACATGAGTGCAGCCTTCTTTAGGTCCCATGAGACCTTATAGCAAATCATCAAATGTATTGGTGGTTGTGGAACTCACAAAACAATGCTTTAAAAAAGTTCTAATATTAAAAATGCACAATTTTGTCTAATCATGCTGACTATAAAGCAAAACAAAACACCACCATACTTAGTAAAAAATATATTAAATGTCAACTTACAAGGTAGGAGGAAGGCCACTCCACAGGGATTTAATGCCCTCATTTCGAATGATTTTCAAGAAAGCATCCTAAAATTATAATAGAAAAAAGTAGTCAAAATATATCCCTAAATCTGATATATTAAATGTTTATATTAATAATTGATTGGTAACTTGATTCTCTCAAGTGTTGATTTCTAAAATATAAGCTTCTCGGATTTATGTATGGCTAATGTTTTTATAAAGGAACTTTCCCCTGCCCTGGTAGCTCACTTGGTTAGAATTCAATCCCAATACATCAAGGTTGAGAGTATGATCCCTAGTCAGGGCACATACAAGGATCAATCAATGAATGCATAAGTAAGTAGAACAAATAGATGTTTCCCTCTCTGTATCTCTATTAAAAAAACAAAACAATGTCATTCTTCTAAAAATTAGAACAAATAATCCTAAAATTTGTATGGAACCACAAAAGACCCCTAACAGCCAAAGCAACTGGCTATTGAGAAAGAAAAATGAAGTTGAAGCTATAGTGCTTCCTAATCTAAAACTACACTACAAAGCTATAATGACCAAAACAGTATGATGCTGACACAAAAACAGACACACAGAAGAAGGGAACAGAGTAGATAGCCCAGAAACCTAGCTTATATGGTCAACTAACCTATAACAAAGGATGTAAAAATATATAAGGGAGTAATGACAGTCTTTCAACAAGAGGTGCTGAGAGAACTGGAAAGATACATGGAAAAAATAAATAGCCCTGGCTATTTATTTGAGTGGATTGAGCACCGGCCTGCAAACCAAAAGGTCGCCAGCTTAAGTCTTGGTCAAGGCATATGACTGGGTTGTGGGCCGGGTCCCTGGTTGGGGGACATGTGAGAGGCAACCCATCAATGTTTCTCTTGCACATTGACATTTTTCTACCTCTCCTTCTTTCTCCCTTCCACTCTCTAAATAGAAATAAGTAAAATCTAAATAAATAAATAAATCAGAACCACTTTCTTACACCATATACAAAAACAAACTCAAAGCTATTTAAAGAAGATGCGAAACCTGAAACCATAATAATTCTAGAAGAAAACAGGAATTAATCTATTCGACATCAGTCTGAATGTCTTTTTGAATACAGCCCTTTGAACAAGAGAAACAAAGGCAAAAATAAAACAAATGGGACTTAAACTAAAAAGCTTCTGAACAGCAAAGGAAATATATAACAAAACACGACCTACTGAATGGGAGAATATATTTGTATATGATATATTTGATAAGGAGGCAACATCCAAAATACATTAAAAAACACATGTAACTCAGTAACACACACACATAAATCCAACTGAAAAATGGGCAGAAGACATGAAAAGATATTTGTCCAAAGAGGACATACAGAACAGATAGCCAACAAACATAAGATGCTCAATACCACTAATCAGCAGGGAAATGAAAATCAAAACCATAAAGAGATATTACTGCACACCAATCCGCATGACTATGATAAAAAAAAGTTAACAAATGACAAGTGCTGGTGAAGACGTGCAGAAAAGGGAACTCTTGGGCACTGTTGGTGGGACTGTAAACTGCTGCAGCCCCCATGGAAAACATGGAGATTCCTCAAAAACCTAAAAATAGGCTTATCATTCAATCCAGCAATTTCACTTTTGGGTATTTATCCAAAGAAAATGAGAAAATGAATTTGAAAAGATATGTGTACCCCAAGTTCATTGCAGCATTATTTACAATAGCCATGATGTAGGAGCAACCTAGGTACCCATGGATACACATGAAAGGATAAAGAAGACATGGCATATAAATACAATGAAAAATTACACAGCAGTACGAAAGAATGAAATCTTGCCATATGCAACAAGATGGAAGGATCTAGAGGGTATTCTGCTAAGTGAAATAAGTCGAGAAATGCAAATACCGTATGGTTTCACTTATATGTGGAATCTTAAAAAACAAAACAAAACAAAAATAGACTCACAGAAACAGAGACCAAAGGGATGGTTACTGGAAGGGAGGTGGTGAGAGGATGAATGAAAAGGAAAAGGGGAACCCAGTCAATAATACTGCGATAAAGTTTACACTGTGACAGATGACTACTAGAATGAATGGGGTCATCATGTTGTAAGGTATAAAAATGTTGAGTCACTATATTGCACACCTGAAACTAATATAAACAATGTAATATTATATAGCAACTATTCTTTAAATTTTTTTTTTAAATAGGAGAAAATCTTCAGGTCTAAGGGTAAGTAAAAAGTTCTTAGACTTGACATTTTCTATGATTTACATAGGCAAGGTAGACAGTATAAAAAACATTTGCAAAACACACTGTTGCAGATAAAAATGGGGTATGTACAAGTTCAGTAACTAAAAGTAACCTCACAAGATCTGGTAATAAGTTCCTAACTGGGAAGGTGATGAGTATTCTCTAGTAAAATGTTTACCTCTGCCTTAGGCGAGTCTTACCCATTGTTTTTGTGCATCTAGGTTAACACATCTTGGAGATGTCCCTTTTCCGTCCCCTGGGAAGTATGATGACCCTCCAACTCTAGAGAGCACATAATCTTGTTGGCTATCCTCTAACTCAATCACCTGCCTGGCTTTCTTCCACCTTCAAGTCACCTTCCTTCTCTCCTTAATTGCAAATTTGTGAAGGACTGCAAACTGTCACCCTGAGAAGCCTTTTTTCTCAGTCTGTTGAGTTGTGGCTTCCAGGCAAATCCTCTCTGGCTCTGATAAACTCATACATATTTTACAGGATTGGATGTTGTGAGGTCAGCAAACCCTAAACATGCAACTACCACAGGACCCAGAAACTGCAGTCCTGGGCACTTACCCCAGAGAACGATGTAAATGTTTTAATGAAGTTATAATGAGAAATATACATTCTGGTCTTTGTCCATGGTTTCTGGAACACCGCATCTAAAATTCTTAAAGTTTCCTCAGTGATAAAGAACAATGGGAGCATCTTTTGTTATATTTGCTGTTTTGTTCTCAGTCCTGAAATAGCTCCAGATAAAGGTAAAAGAATTCTTTTGTTATTCATAACAAGGCCCTTTCAACCACACCTGAGTTGATGCTAATGAGGTGATTTTTGGAAGCCCCTGGATGACCACAGGGTGGGGGCTGGTTAGGGGAACCAAGCAAGTAATGCAGGCAGGCCTGGGAGACATTTCAGGTTTAGCTGCAGACCCACTGCAATAAAGTGAGTCACACACATTTTTTTTGGTTTCTCAGTGTGTATGCAATTTGTGTTTATATTACACTGTAGTCTATTACTGAATAGCATTATGCCCCCAAAATGTATGTAGCTTAATTAAAAAAACACTTTATTGCTAGGAAAATGCTAATCATTATCTGAGCCTTCCGCAAAATTGTGAATTTTTTGCCGGTGGACGGTCTTGCCTCTAAGTTGATGGCTGCAGACTGATCAGGGTGGTGACTGCTGAAGGCTGGGGTGGCTGTGGCAATTCCCTAAAACAGAACAATGAAGTTTCCCACGTCGACTGAGTCTTCCTCTCACGAACAGTTTCTCTGTAGCATGTAATGCTGTTCATTAACGGTTTACTCACAGTAGGACTTCTTTCCCAACTCGAATCAATGCTCTGAAACCCAGCCTCTGCTTTATCAACTAAGTTCGTTTAATATTCTAAATCCTTTATTGTCACGTCAACAATCTTCGTAGCATCTTCATCGAGAATAGATTCCATCACCACGCGCGCCCCCACTGGCGTCCCGGCGCCCCCGGCCGCGCCTCTGGACCGGGTCCGGTGCGGAGAGCCCCCCTCCTGGAAACGCCCCCACCAAAAAAAGAGGTCGCCCCGTCACCCGCCGCCAGCCACGCACTGCCCGTTCATGGGGAACCTGGCGCTAAACCATTCGCAGACGACCTGCTTCTGGGCCTCCCTCGCTGCGATCTACTGAAAGCCAGCCCGAGAGGAGGGGCGGGAACGGAGGCACCACCTCGCCCGACTCCTCACGCCCGGGGCTTTGGTCCACAGGCTGGGACGGGGAGCAGGAGTGCCTGCAGCAGACAGCAGCGCCCACGGCCCCTTTCCCAGGGGTTCGGGTGCGGGGTCCACGTCTCCGGGTTACGCGTGTACCTCCTTCTCCCCTTCCTTCCTTCCCAAATAGATTCCATCACAAGAAGCCACTTTTTATGCTCACCCATAAGAAGCAACTCCTCATCTGCTGAAGTTTTATCATGAGATTGCTGCAATTCGGTCACATCTTCAGGCTCCAGTTCTAATCCTAGTTCTCTTGCCATTTCTACCACATCCACAGTTACTCGCCCACTCGAGTTCTGAACTCAAAGTCATTCATGAGGGTCGGAATCAGCTTCTTCCGAACTCCTATTAATGTTACTATTTTGACCTCTCTCCATGAATGACAACTGTTCTTCATGGTCCCTAGAATGGTAAATCCTTTCCAGAAGGCTTTCGATTGACTTTGCCCAGGTTCATCAGAGAAATCACCGTATCTATAGCAGCTATAGCCTTATGCAATGTATTTTTGTTGTGTTGACTTTTAGAGACAGGAATAGAGTGACAGAAAAAATACCGATTTCTTGTTCCACCCGTCCATGCACCCACTGCTTGCTTCTCGTATGTGCCCTGACCGATGGAACCCACAGCTCTGCCATGTGGGGGTGATGCTCTCAGCAACTGAGCTACCTCGCCAGGGCTGTAACGTACTTCTTAACTAACAAGACGTGGAAGTCAAAATTACTCCTTGATCCATGAGCTGCAGAACGGATGTTGTGTCAACAGTCACGGAAACAACACCCACCTCACTGTACATCGTCCCTGAAGCTCTTCAGTGATCAGGTGCATTGTCCATGAGCAATATTTTGAAAGTAATCTTTTTTTCTGAACGGCCTCAAAATGAGCTTAAAATGTTCGGCAAACCATGTTATAAACAGGTGTGCTGTCATCCAGGCTTTACAGTTCCATTTATAGAGCACAGGCAGAGGAGGTTTAGCGGAATTCTTAAGGGCCCTAGGATACTCTGAATGATCTAAAACAGCATTGGCTTCAAGTTAAAGCCACCAGCTGCCTAAGTTCCCAACAACAGTCAGCCTGTCCTCTGAAGCTCTGAAGCCAGGCATTCGCTTCCCCTCTCTAGCTATGGAAGTCCTAGACGTGGCATCTTCCAAAATACAGCTGTTCTGTCTAGTTGAAATTCTGTTGCTTAATGTAGCCACCTTCACTAATTATTTTTAGCTAGATCTTCTGAGTAACTTGCTGCAGCTTCTCCATCATTACTTGCTGCTTCATCTCGCACTTTTAGGTTATGAAGACGACTTCTGTCCTTAAATCTGATCGACCAACCTCTGCTAGGTTAAAATGTCTCTTTGGCAGCTTCCTCACCTTTCCCAGGGCTTGCTCTGGATTAGTCTTTGGTTTAAGGCAACATTGTAGCTGGTTGAATCTTCTCTCCAAAGTACTAAAACTATTTCCATGTCGGCAATAGGGCTGTTTCACTTTCTTACCACTCTTGCATTTACTGGAGTAGTACTTTTTTTTCCCTCATTAACCTTGTTTTAATGGGTCTCAAAATTCTGTGATAGATTTTTGGTCAAGTTGTTTCCATTAAAAAGTACTAATTTTAAAAACTAGTAACTTAAAAACTGCCCCCTCCAACAAAACAAATGGTCCACAAAACATTCTCTTTTCCTTCCGAAGGTTTTATGATTCATTGTAATAATAACCAGTCTTCACTGTTAAACTTAAATGGCCAACTGAGACAAACAGTTCTCGGACCATTCATCCACCGCCGATTCAGACTGGGGTGTCATACATCGGGGATGATACTCATCTAGTTTCCTGAGCTTTCCGGGAAGACCTGGTGACTTTGCCAGCTCCAGGTGCTTTTTTGTCCACTGCTTTGATGACACCCATAGCAACTGTCTCATGTCACAGAAGCAAAATGGCCCAGGGGGGTACAGCCAGAGAGGCTTTCGGCACACGGGCTCAGCAGGAACCACAGCAACGATGGCAGCATCACTGGATTTCAAAAACCTTGGGCCATCTTCCAGCTCTTCCTCAGAATGAGAATCAGTTTTATTTGGCTTAGCGAATCTGCAAGCAATGTGAGCAAGTCAGTTGCATACCCAGCACTGACTTGGCCCAGATGGTTCAGGACATCACCCAAGCAGTGAATCCAGCTGCTTCCATTAATGGGTCATTTTTGCTGTCACCAGCCACACTGCCATGATGAACATCATGTCTGTCAAAAATGTTTGTCATGAAGTAGCACTTTTAATTTCCTTCAAGAACTTTTCCTGGCTAATGCAAGAGGCCTAGCTTTCCACCTATCTCTGCTTTCGATACGCCTTCCTCAATAACCTTAATCATTTCTAGCTTTTGCTTTAAAGTGAGACGCGCAGCTCTTTCTTTCATTTGAACACACTTAGAGGCCACTGTAGGCTATTACTTGGCCTAATTTCAATATTGTCGTCTCCCCTGAGGCCCAAGGAGAGAAAGAGACGTGGAATGCCTGGTCAGTGGAGCAGTCAGAAAGCACACAGCATTTGTCAATTAAGTTTACTGTCTCATGTGGTCATGGTTCACGGCACCCCAAAACAATTACAATCCTAACATCAAAAATTCCTGATCACAGATCATTGTAATAAATATGACAATGAGAGTCGGAAAAATTGCAAGAATTACCAACATGTGACACAGACACACAAAGTGAGCAAGTGCTCTTTGGAAAAATGGTGCTGAGAGACTTGCTCAACACCAGGTTGTCACTAACCTTCAGTTTTGGGTGTGGGGTGAGGAGCGGTATCCAGGAAGCCCAATAAAACAAAGCATAATAAAATGAGGTACATCTGCTGAGGGCTGGGACCTTCACTCCTCTGCCCCACTTTTCCCCAACCTTAGGACCTTTGGGGGAGGGAGAGGGACTGGAGGTTGAAGTAATCGCCATCAGCCAGTGATTTAACCAATCGTGCCTACATAATAAAGTGAGTTAAGAGCAGAAAGGAAACAGGTATGACTAGAGAAGGGAACCAGAAGGATCCCTGTGGTGATGGAATTGTTCTGTATCTTAACTGTATCAATGCCACTGGCCTGGCTGTGCTATTATACTTGGTTCTGTAAGATGTTACCATTGGGGGGAACTGGGAAAAAGGTACATGGGATCTGTGTGTATAGTTTTCTTAAAATGTGTATGACCTACAATTATCTCAGTATAAAAATATTTAACTAAAAATATGTACTCCCTTTTATTCCTACACAAAAATCATAAATAAATAAAAGGAAACTTAGAAAGTTCAAAGCAAAGAAGTATTTTCCTTTTCCTGCCTCAATATCTGCTGTGGATAAATTTACTAACTTATGATAACATTTCATTGTCCTGTAATTTGGAAAATCTTTTATTTGTAAGATTAATATAAAAATAGAACATACACTGTGATTATGAATAATATAATCTCCTTACCAACGTTCCCCGGAAAACACCTGGCTTCTTATACCACACTTTGTTACCTTCCTCTTCGCAGACACATAGATGATCCATAAGTCCATTACTATATATAAAACATTTTCCTAACAAAGAAGACAACAGTCCACAATTACTTCACACAACTGTATTCTTTTTACTGATGAACAAACTGAAATTATAATGAGGGAACTAGAAAACTGTAAAAAAGATACACCCTTGTCCTCACCTTTTAGGATCAAATATACATAATTGGATCTGCTTAATGACACAGCACTGAGATCTAAACTGATAGTAGTGAAGGTAACTGATACACTTGTGGATTTTAGGTTTTCAGAACTATAGTAAGCAGATGCACACAGAAATAATTTTTTTTCAGTTATCTGAGGAAATGGAGAGAAAAGATAAAGGAGGAAAACCTGTTCTGATATGAGAATACGGGTGGAAAACTTTGTGGTGGCAAGGGTAACACAGACAAACACATATTAGGAAATCAAACATTTATCTGAAAGGTGCCAAGAGAGTAGATTGTAAAAGTTCTCATGGTAAGAAAAAGTAAATTTATGAGGTGATGGATGTCAACTAAACTTACTGTGGTGATTATTTTGCAATATATGCATCTATGAAATCATTATGTTCCATACCTGAAACTAAGAGTGTTATATGTCAATTATATCTCAATAAAAATAGATTATGAAAAGATATGTTCTTCTCGATCAATGTAAATAATACTATGCTTTGCCCCTTTCTCTGGATTTATGTTGCTCCATTTAGACATTCATTATCTCCCACCTAATTAACTACTTTCTTTAATATCAACTCTTTCCCATTATAGGACTAACTCTTGCTGCCAAAACTGTCTTCTCTGTTCAACCATACATACAGTTCTGTGAGTTTCATAATACATAAGCCAAGTGCCTCCTGTTTTTAAGGCTTCCTTTAATATGCAGGGAAGTACCTTACTTTTTAGTCTCTACAATCCATCTATCCTGTCATTCATCTGAAATATGGCTGCTGTGCATTCTGTCTCACTACCCTGCATTCAACAGAGTGGCATCTATGCCTGACCCAAATTCTTCACAGTCTAGTAAGTTTTCTGCTATTTAAACATGTTTTAAAGTGCCATTATCTCTTATAAAACCAGAAAAAATGACGAAGGAATTGTTGTTTTTGCTCATCTAATAAAAATGTATAATTACTCTTCTCAGATTGCACATAAACTACACTGTTGAGCAACGAACCAAGCTGTCTGATAAGACAGGGAGCTTCCTGTCACTGTGTTCAAGCAGCAGCCTGAGGACTGTTGATGTTCTAGGCCTGGCAGAGCTCTTGGGCTGAGGAGGAAGCTGGATTCTAAGGTCCCTGAGCAGTATATTCTGTTCTTACTTGTGAGGCATACAACCAAATATAAAATCATCCTCTGACTTAATTAGTAGGTTCATAAAGTGTTACACATACATATTAGTTTTCAGCCTAGAAAACTATGGGATGAGAAACTACTTCTGCCTGAGGCTATGGAAGCATCAATTTTTTTTTTTGTAATTGACAAAAAGGTTAACATTCAAACAGAAATGAATGCGGTAACATTTAAAAATCGAACATAATTTTCCCAGGATAACTGGTACACGTACCTTTGCGAAATGGACTGTGTTGGGCTTGCAGTCGGATTTTAACAACATCCAGGGGTGTCACTGTGAAAATACAGAAGTTTCAATTAACAAGCGATACATGTCAGTTTAGAGGTGTTCGTCCAAAGAACACAAAATACATGGTGGGGCAAAAAGTAGGTTTACAGTTCTGAGTATGCAAAACAGAGTTTATTCTTATTCTCACTTACTAGTTATTGTATTATTTTCCATAGGAACAACTGTAAACCTACTTTTGCCCCAACCTGTGTTTTCAATCACACTTTCCTTCATGACTATACAATGGATAAGATTATTTATCTTAAAGTGGTTTTGAATGAAATATTCTAATTTTTGCCCTTGAATTTTGTTTGAAGAGGATGAATGAAAAGACAATGTAATTATTTCTCTCACAAGTGCAAAAAACGTCATTTAAAATACTTCTACAATTATAATTCCATTAATGTTAAAACTAAATACTAGTCCAAAAGTCTATTTAAATATGGAAAATAACTCTGTGTTGTAAGTAATTAATAATCAAACAATATTAGCCTCCTTAATTTATTAAATTTACCTGTACCAAATAAAAACTATAATTAATATAAATTGGAATAAGCTAGTCATAAGTCATCTTTACCACCAGGTTATATTATTCCACTTGGGAACAGCACAGAAAACAATGGTTTTAATTTGCATGCTATATTTGCCCAAATAGAAAAAATGCCAAATAATAGTACCCAAGAAAAATTTTCCTCATCTGAGAATTATCTCTAAGGCTTTCACAACCCTAACCCCACGTTCTGAGGTGACATAACATACTACCATCCTAAAGTGATTCATTTATGCTTGCTGTAGTCATCTGCCATCTTATCTAAATAACCAGCCAAGTCAAAATCATTAAAATACTGAACTATCACCTAACTATGTCATTTGGCTATGTCTACAAGAAACTGACTATAAAAAATAGAAAAATGTGATCCAGAAAAATTTTAAAAATTCACCATCAATATAAGCAAAGTTAAACAATTTGTATTATTGCTATTGTAAATTGTCCAAATTCTGTATTATTCAGTATGCTGATATTTTATTTCATCTTCTTGCTTTCTTTTGTTCAAAAAGAATAAAAGTCAGGAAAGTCTAACACTGATAAAAACCACAACAAACTCCTGATGTATGGCCCAAATTTACAGATGAAAAATGAGTCAGAAAAATGAAGAAAAATGAGACAGATGAAAAATGAGACAATCCCCAAAGTCCATTTACCCTGAGAATGAACAAGCAGGGACTAAAATTCAAGCCTCTTATTTTCCTGTCTTGTGTTCTTTTCATGTTATGTTGATGGAGAGATATTATCATTTATGAAAGATGAATGATAGTATTATTATATCACAGATGGTAAAGCTCAAATGAATTAATTCGGTTACATAATATACATCATAATGTAAAATAATTTTACCCATTAGTGATGTCTACATCATAATCTACATCATAAAGTACACTAATTTTACCCATTAGTGATGTCAGTATAGCTCCAGTACAAGAGGCAAGCATTTGTTGAAGAGGTGTCACTTTGAGAATCGGTGGTCCCCCTTCTTCAGGATCCATATTTTTAACTACTTGAAGAAAAAATCTGTTAAAGAAAAGCCAGATGTAAAATAAAGTTTAATGGAAAATGCCCTCAAAATTGACTGCTGTATATTAAATGAACTACAAACACAAGGAAAATGGGGGCAGACTCATAGATGGAGAGAGCAGGGTGACAGATGTGGGGGGGAGGAGGTGAGTGGGTGGAGGGACTGAGCAAAAAGGAAAAAGGACTCATGGACCTGGACAATGGTGGGGTAATTACTAGGGGCAGGGGGAGCATAAGGGGACTAAATGGTAATAGAAAAAATATTATAAAGATTAAACTTTAAAAAACAATAATCACTATTAATATCAGAGGACAGGCTGTGACAACTATTAAAAGTATATATCTAAGCTGTGTACACAAAGACACTACACAACTGTCATTAATAGAACATATTCTCTGATTTGGCAAAAAGGGTGATGTACTTCAGCTAAGCTGTGTGAATAACATCACACTTGCAAGAACATTAATAGGGCATTAAAAAAACAGATTCTGGCTACGTATCAATGAAAGCGGCTGACCAACAAGACTCAGAATCTGTGAATTTGGCCTCTTAAGAACTACTCAGATACAATAATATGGTACAGAGTTACTAGCAAATATGGCACTATTTTTACTGCATACCAAAATCTGTTGCATGGTATAAAATAAAATCAAAACACATAACCTCCAGAAGCAGCATCTTAGAACAATTTGATGAGAAAAACAAAATGTACTTCCTAAAAAGTCAGTTAACAAAAAAAAGTATAAAGATCACTTATAAACTTGCTATTTAAAAATAACCACTGGCAATATATCGGTGCCATCATTCCAAATGCCACGTGAACACAAATACATACTTAAATATGCAGATGATGTGTGTTCATATTATATACAGGGTGGGGCAAAAGTAGGTTTACAGTTGTGTGTATGTGAAACCAAGTTTATTCTTGTATTATTATTGGTTAATTACTGTATTATTTTCCATACAAACAACTGTAAACCTATGTTTGCCCCACCCTGTATATACTATATGCAGATGTTATTTGCACAGGCAGATTACATCTAATTAATTAAACATGAATCAACATTTATTATATTTTTGTACATGCATCTTTTGTGAAAAAATGGTTACTATTATTGTATGCAAACTGTAATTGAAAAATAAAATTAAAAAGTAGGTTACTACTATTCATATTGTTCAGTAGACCACTTTGACACTTAAAAATATAAACACTGTGCCCTGGCCAGGTGGTTGGAGCATCTTCCCAACCACCAAAGGGTTGTGAGTTTGATCTCCAGTTAGGGCACGTGCCTAGGTTGCAGGTTCAGTCCCCAGTTGGGGCACGTGTGGAAAGCAACCAACTGATGTTTCTCTCTCACACTGATATTTCTCTCTCTCTCTTTCCCTCCCCCTCTTAAAAATCAATAAACATATCCTTGGGTGAGGATTAAATATAAATATATTTGACATATCCTTAGACTGTCAATAAATACAGACTTACATTATCATTTCTAATGCTTAAAGAGTTTTTTAAACCCTTGCCTGAGGACATGGTCATTGATTTTAGAGGGAGAGAGACAGCGGGAAACATGGATCAGATTAGGTGCCTCCTCTAGGTGTGCCAACCAGGGTACAAAACTCCAACCTAGGTATGTGCTCTGACTGGGGATCGAACTCACAAGCTTTTGGTGTACCAGATGATGCTCCAACCAAGGAAGCCTCCCTGCCAGGGTGATGCTTAGAGTCTTTAATTTTACTAATTTAATCAGTCATATATATTGTTAGATATTAAGTTTATTGCCAGTTTTTTACTCATTCATTCACTCCATATATTCTCATGATAAACATCATTACACAAACATCTTTTTGTGGCCTTCCTATAATTACTATAAGAGAAAGTAAGATTGCTAGGCTAAACAAAAACTTGAGACAAAATTCTTTCCAATTTATACTTCTACTAGTAATCTATGAGTTGCTATTAATCCACAACTTCCCCAAACTTTAACATTATGTATCATTTATCTTTTTCTGAACGATTTCAAAATAGGTTGCATACATCAACCCTTTTTATCCTAAGTACCTCAGAATATTCTCTTACATAATCAGAGCGCAATTATCAAATTAAAAGAACTTAATTTTGATAGTACTCCAGTTCATATCCCAATTTTGGCATTATTCCAACAATGACTTAACAAAAATGAATGGTACTTTTATTGTTTCTTTAAACTATTATTATTCACCCAAGTAGTTTAAAATTTTTTATTGAATTTATTAGGGTGACAGTGGTTAATAAAATTACACATATAGGTTTCAAGTGTTCAATTCAATAACACATAATTTGTATATTGTATTGTGAGCTCACCACCCAAAGTCAAGTCTCCTTCCCTCACCATTTACTCCCCCTTTAGCCTTTTCTACCTCCCCCCAACCTTCTTTCCCTGTGATAATCACCATACTGTTGTCTGTGTCTATGAATTGTTGTTGCTGTTCTTTGGCTTAATCCTTTCACCTTTTCATCCAGTCCTCCAACCCCTTCCCCTCTAAAGGCTGTCAGTCTGTTTTCTGTATCTATGAGTCTGTTTCTATTTTGTTAATTTTGTTCATTAGATCCCACATATAAGTGAAATCACATGGTATTTGTCTTTCTTAAACTGTCTTATTTCACTCAGCATAATGCTCTCCAGGTCCATTGATGCTGTCTAAAAAAAGGTTAAGACTTCTTTTTTTCACAGCCAAGTGTTCTGTCTTGTAAATGTACCACAGCTTTTTCATTCACTCATGTACTCATGGGCACTTGGGCTGCTTCCAAATTTTGGCTATTATAAATAATACTGCAATGAACAGAGGGGTGCACATACTCTTTTGAATAAATGTTTCAGGTTTCTTTGGATATATTCCCAGAAGTAGAGTGAATCTCTGTGTTGCAAGGAAGTTCCATTTTTAATTTTTTGAGGAAACTTCATACTGTTTTCCACAGCGACTACACCAGTCTGCATTTCACCAACAGTGCACAAGGGTTCCCCTTTCTCCACATCCTCACCAATACTTCTTGTTTGTTTATTTACTGATAACCATTCTGACAGTGTGAGGTGATATCTCATTAGTTTTAATTTGGATTTATCTGATGATCAGTGAGCACTGTTTTATATGTCTACTGGCCATCTCTATGTCCTCTTTGGAGAAGGGTCTATTCAGGTCCTTTGTCCATTTTTAATTGGATTGTTTGGGGTTTTGGTATTGAGTTTTATAAGTTCTTTATAAATTTTGAATATTAAACCCTCATCACATGTATTGGTGAATATGTTGTTCCATACAGTGGGTTCCTTTCATTTCACTGATGATTTCCTTTGCTGTGTTAAAGCTTTTTAGTTGTTTTTTTAAAAAAATATTTTATTTATTTATTTTTAGAGAAAGGGGAAGGGAAAGAGAAAGAGTGGGAGAGAAATATCAATGTGTGGCTGCCTCTCATGTGTCCCCCCACTGGGGACCTGGCCCACAACCCAGGCATGTGCCCTGACTGGGAATCGAACCAGCGACCCTTTGCTTCACAGTCCCATGCTCAATCCACTGAGCTGCACCAGCCAGGGCAAAACCTTTTTAGTTTCGATGTAGTCCCTTTTTTTCCCTTTCTTTTGTTTCTCTTACCCAAGGAGACATATCAGAAAAAAAATATTGCTACAAAAAATGTCTGAGATTTTACTGCTCACTTTCTTCTGGGATTTTTATGGTTTCAAGTCTTAACATTTAAATCTTTAATCCATTTAGAGTTTATTCTTGTATATGGTGTAAGAAAGTGGTCTACTGTCAGTTTTTTGCACGTATCTCTCCAATTTTCCTCACACCATTTGTTGAATAGACCATCTTCACCACATTGTATGTTCTTGCTTCCTATGTCAATATTAACTGCCCATAAGGCCCTGGGTTTATTTCCGGGCTCTACTGGATCTATATGTCTGTTTTCACGCAAGTACCATGATTACTATGGCCTTGCAGTACATAGTTTGATGTCAGGTAGCATGATTCCCCCAACTTAGTTTTTACTCAAAATTGCTGTGGTACCCACCTGGTTTAAGTCTTTTCCTCAACTCTATGCTCCAGTATTTTGTTTGTAACATCAGTAGCTGAAAATCTGCAGTGGAAAAAAAAAACTGTTTTATCTTTGCACATAGGAAAAGGGTAACAAGCCTAACAACAAGGAGCACACAGAAAACTTGAAAACAGAAATTAACATTTATTGAATGCTTCTAGTAAGTGCTTTGAGGATTATAAAGAACACTCCACAAATGGAGATAACAGTGCTTGAAGAATAATTAAAAAATTAAAAAATGCTATCAATTAAAAAAGAACACTCCACAAATACTGACATTAGTTATGAAAGTATTTTAACAAAAACTTCTAATTATCCCGGTAAATGTATTCCACTTTAAAAACAAACTATTCTATAACCTGAATACATTGATCAATCTTAGATTATTAAGTCAAAAAAATAGATTTTGTGATGTAAAATTATCCAACATCATCTATATTTTGGAGAAAAAATTTTGATCTGAACCTAAGTAATCCTTTAGCTCTAAAGTCCATTCTACAGAAAATTCAGAGGCTAAAGTAACAGGGTAAAGGATGCGGTAAAATAGGAGAAAGTGTGACACTCTAGCCTTTAGGACTACAGACTCTTCAACAAATGAAAAGTGAGAAAAAAGGTGGCAGGGAAGAACTGTTTCAGAATCAAGGAATCCCATGAAAGTGAACAACCAAATGTATTTTGGTTAAAAAAGGAAACTTTAAAAAGCAAGTTTAATGGTAGTAACTAAAGAAATCTGAATATGGGCTTTTAATATTAGATACTATTAAAAGTTATTATTGATTTTGTTTGGTGAAATAATGGTATTATGGTTATGTAAAAAATATCTTTTTTAAGAGATCCACACTGAGGTATTCAGCACTGTTATGAAAATGCTATAGTTTACAATGCTTTAGAAAAAATAAATATACTGAAATGTTAACAATCTGTTAAATCTAGCTAATAAATATGTCATAAGTATTTCACTCTTCTGTATTTTTCTGGGAAAATGTATACAATAAATATTTTTAACTCCTAAAATTTATGTAAAATCTTCCAGTCTAAGAACATGCTCCTAACATCCATTTACATAAACACAGTTCCTTTAAGTATAAGATAATACGCATATGATAGAATACAGGTATATTCCTCCTCCAGAAAAGTAAAAGGCCTACAGTACTTTATTTTGACATTCATATCAGCAAAGTTGGCAACATGAATATGTTCACCTGAAATTAAAGCCAAATAAAATCGATACATTTCTACAATTATTTAGAACTGAAGGGACAAAAACTGTTTTTAGGCTCTCTATTCCATTCTATTAGTCAACTTACCTATTTTTAAACCATACCACAATGTATTATTACTGAGTCACAGTAAGTCCTTATATTTGATAGGGGCAGTCTATCCTCCCTGTTCCTCATGTAAGTTTAAAAATTCAAGTTCCTTTAAAAACTTCTTCGAAATTTTGAATGGAATGAAACTGAATCTATAGATAAATTTGGAGAGAATTAATATCCACGAAGAACCTATCCCTTCATTTATTCATGTCTTCCTTACTGATGTTCTGAAAAGTTTCAAAATTTGTCCTAAAGATCTTCCATGTTTGTGGCAGGTCTAACTCTAGACGCTTGGTAATCACCGAAACTAATATAAATGGGACCTTCCTTTGATATTCTCTCTACTGCTGGCATAAACAATTGATTTTGTATATTAATCTTATACCCAGCCAACCTTGCCCAAAGAATCTCCTCATATTTCCAATTACTGAGTAATAATAGACTCTTAAGTTATTTCATATAAAATTTATATTGTCTGCAAATATTTGATATCTGCTATTCCCAAACATCCTGCTACCAACTTAATTTTCTTATTGCACAGGATAGGATTTCCAGCACAATGTTAGACAAAGAATAGTAAAAATAAGTATATTTCTACCTCAATTTAAAAAGAATTCTTCTAAGATTTCCCATTAGGATGTTTGCCACAGATTTCTTTTTTTAAACAGAGTCTTCATCACATTAAGGAATTTTATTTTAATCTTATTATACCATGAAGACTCCTTCTTTTTTTATTTCAGCTTTACTGAGGTAAAAATGACATACAAAATTATAAAATTTTAAAGCACACATCATGGTGATTTGAGGTACATACACACTGTGGAAGGATTCCTCCTTTCTACTAATTAAGACATCCATCACATTTATTTATTTATTTATTTACTTAGGTGAGAACATTTAAGTTTATCTCTTAGCAAAGTTCAATTATATAGGCCAGTGTTACCAAATATAGTTACCATATTTTACATTAGATCCTCAGACCTTATTTATCTTCCAGGCGAGAGTTTGTAGCATTTTACCAACCTCTTCTTATTTCCCCATTCCACCAGTCTCTGGCAGCTACTTTCCGCTGTTTCTGTGATTCACTGTTTTTAGAAAAAAGATTTCACATACAACTAATAACATGCAGCCTGCAGTATTTGTCTATCTCTATCTAGCTTATTAGACTTAGCATAATGCCCATAAGGTCCATCCATGTTGTCACGTAGCAGGATTTCCTTCTTTCTCCCATGGTTGAATGTTCCATTGCATGTATGTATGTCTATACACACATGACACTATGTTCTTTGTTTTTTTACTCTTTTATTGAGAAACGATACACAATGAAGTGCATATACTTAAAGTTTATAACTTGTAAGTACTGACCACCTGTAAAACCATGGCCAATCAACAAAATGAACATAACTGGCATACCCATGAGTTTCCTCCCCCTTCTCTGTAATTCCTAGAACTGCTCCTGCTCTGAAACAACTACCGACCTGCTGTCCCTACAGATGAGTTTGCATTTTTGAGAACTTCAAATGAATGGAATCATAAAGGAGCTATGACTATCCACCCACATTTAAGTGTTAAGTAAATAAGTAGGAATAAAATGACCAGGACAAATGGCAAATGCATGCTTAACTTTTTAAGAAATTGCCAAGATGTTTTCCAAAACATCTAAGACAAAAGAAGTAGGTAATGAAAGAATTGAGAAACAAAAATATATGACATAAAACAATTGACAAGGTCTTGTTGATAATTTCATTAAATATAAATGGATTAAATTCTCCAATTAAAAGATGGCAACCGGAAGGATACATTTAAAAAGTATTGATCTAACTCATTTTAGTCAGAAAGAGAAACTATTTATGATAACAAAAGAGGGGTTATCTCTGGTGGAAAAAGGGAGATTGGAGCAGGGAATGAAATAACCCAAGAGAACAGAAATGTTCTATGGAGTGGTAATTATATATACATAATTGTATATATATACACACACACACATGCATATTCATTTATTACAACTCATCAATCTGTATGCTTAAAATGGGTATACTTTATTTTATATGGATTATTAAGAGTATTAAATTTTTTAAAATTTAGAGGATGAGACTTCTATAGAATCTCACAAAAAACCAGTCTCACTGGAGTCGCACATTGTAGGTACTCGATCAATGTAGAAGAAAAGAAGGAAGTGGGATAGGTGAGTAGATTGTTTTACAGGCATGGCCAGATATCAATATGCATTCTGTATTGCCCTAAAGGAATTTACAATCTAGTTCAGAATATAATATGTAACCTTTGAACCAGTTCATTATCCTTAACAGCTCCTACAGGTGCCACAGCAGCCTCTGAATTATGCTGGATCCCATAGGGGGATCTATGGATCCCATAGAGGGATCCACTCAAATTTTGAATCCTCCTGTTTTCCTTGTTCTTCTTTTGACCCTTCATGGTGGTGTTTAAGGACTTGACAGGCTGAATTTTCCCTGGTTTCCCAGCCACGCTCACAGGAGACATGGACTTCAGTGCCATGGCCTCTATCTATCCTTTCATATGCTTAGCCTGCAAAACTAAGACTTCAGCCTCTGAAAAACCTTAGGCCCTTAAATTCACCAAGGCAGCAAAAATGAAATAAAAATAGCGACAGAATACATTTCAGAAGATAGCACATCAATAGCTGGCAAATTAATCAAACAGGAATTATTGAAGGCCCCAAATAAGCAGGAGATAAAGGCTGCATCTAAGCCAGGCTTGCTATGCATATGAACGATGAACAATTGTCAGACAGGTGGAGAGACTTAAGCAAAAGAAAAAATGATAATATTACAGAAGAATGAATAAATTCATTTATCTAGACTCTAGGGTAAAAAAATTTACATTTGTGTGAGACAGCCTGAAAAAGGCCAGCCTTCATTTGATAATGACAAAAAGTTGCTGGGTGACTATCATCATTTACAAATGAGACAACCATAGTATGGAAAGGTTAATACTTGCCCAAGGTCATTAAACTACTTAGAAACAGCCAATACTGAATGAATTCATTTCTCCTGATTTACAGCTAAATGTTCACTTAATTAGATCCTTCTACTCAAGTGTTTTTCTACTTTTCTTAATAAAACTCATTAACCAAACCTCTCACCACAAATATTCTTCTTGAATGTAGTCTTTTTACCTGAAGCACACCTCAACATATACTTTAACATAAACCTTATTCTCTTACCTGTAGCCCTGATTGCTGACATAATATATAAGGAGGTTTCTATACTTATAGACCATAGATATAGGGCCAAGTGCCTCTTCTGGTGACTACTGAAAGGGCTGAGTTCTGATAATAACATTTTAAAATATTATCACTGGGTTACATATTACCTAGATAGGTATTAACACTATCCAATAAAACAGACTTTCTGCTTTCATAGCAGATAATGTTTGGCATTATCACCCACAATGCAGGCAAGTGTGTGTCTAAAAGCACTGGTTACAACTATGTTACTGTCCTTCCTCATCACAGGAAATAAGGAAGGTAATTCATCTTTCACTAGAACACAAAATGGGCTTCCAGTTTTTCATTTTCTTCAATACAAACATGCTTAAATCCTTCCCATAGTCCCTTAAATTTCCAAAGACCCAATCTTCCCTTCCTATCACCATAATTCCCTACACTGAGATTTTTTGCACGAGTATACCCAATCTGTTTCCACTTCGAGCCTATTGTTAACTAGCACAGTACTCACCTTAGCCATATACTGAAATTCTCGCCAAGGAAACCAATGGCATCTTAAACAGGCGAATCAGGGCCTATATTTCAAGTCCAAGCCTTTTTGAATTCTTGAAGATAGAGAGGCTGGTGCAGGGTTCACCACAACTACAGCATTCACTGAGCTCTCCCTCTGTGCTAGGCACAGTACTAATAGAGCTTTCAAAAATGTTCCATGTAATCCTCGTGAAATCTGAGAAGTATTAATTACTCCTTTTCAAAGATTAAAACTGAGGCTCAAAATTACCCAAAGTCATATAGTTAATGCAACCTGCATGACCCCAGTGTTTGCAATTCTGTGACTTTTGATAGTAAGCTTTGTTCCCAGTTCTCTTCCTAACTCTGGGGCCTCTCCTCCATCTCTCTCTCTCTCACTACTTCCTCACCACTTCTCTTACTTCACATGCTCTCCTAGGCAACGTCCTGCACTTCCTCCCAGGACTGCAGCTACACGCTACATTTGTGTTTCTCAACCTTTTAACATTTTTATAAATATAAAAATCTTGTGCTTTTTCTGTTGTTTACATTTTGAAAGTGGGTTATTCTCCCCAAATAGAAGTTCTCACGTACAGTATGTTTGTTCAAACTACACACTTCCTCCTGCCTCTCAGGATCCGATAACCTCTACATCGCCCCGTGACTGAGAATCAGTGGTTGGTGTGTGTGCTGTCTCTCAAGTCAATCACTCTTTCTTCTCTTTGTTTCCTCTCCACCCCCATCTTTCTTGAGTTGCAGACAAATATTACCAACTGTCTAATAAAGATAGTTCCATACGTGTCTCCCCAAGCCCTTCAACTTGAAGCCTCCACAACAAAACTCTCGTTTCCCTAATCCAACCTGAACCAACTCTTTGTGTTCTCCAGTTTGGATAAGGGTATCACAATCCACCCCTGTCTATGCTTTCAGGTACATATTTTTGGAACGGCGTTATTGGCATTAACTTCCCTGAACTACTAGGTAAAAAAATCAACCATTAAACAATGACTACCTAATAGGGCCAGGAGTTAAGAAATGCAAAGTAATACAAGATTAAACCCTCTTCTTCCTTGAGTTTACAAGCAGAAACATACCCAAACCGATTTTTTGTGACTTGTTTTCCCATCTACAAAACAAAATTAGTATACTTTACAAATCATATTAACTTAATCCGTACTATAATCCCATTATCATCCCAACTTTATAAATGAAAAAACTGAGGCTCGAAGTGATGAGGTAACTTAACCAAAGTCTTAGAGTCTGGTAAGTAAGTGGTCGGTCCAGATCCAAAACCCTCGACTTCAGATTCAAATTCTCCTCTTTCTTTTATTGTTGAATAAACTTCGACACAACAAAACAGGTCTGTGCGAAACAGAGGTCAACAGAGAAGCACACAGAGTCAAGTGCAAAAGGTGCGCTCCAGGCGGGGGCCTCCTGGCCCGACCTCCTTCCTACGCACCCCTCACCCCTAGCCCGCCGCCTCTCACCTCAGCAGGTCCCTCTGCGGCCTGTCTTTGGCCAGCAGGGTCCGCGGTGACCGCGGGAAATACACGCTCTGAGACTCTAGGAGCGCTGAACAGGGGTTGTCGCCGCCTCCGGGTCCGGCCCGAAACCAAGTCCGGGCTCAGCGCTGCAGCTAAGCCTCCAGGCCACTGGACAGCAGACCCGTCAGAGATAAGCGTTCCTGGAGGAGAAGGCAGCTGGACAACAGGCGATCCCTGCAAACCAAGAAGGCGGGAATGACACTGGTACAGGGCTTCGCCGGCCTCCGGCTCTAACTGCGCCCGCTACCTCTGCTCAACTAGGAGGCGCAAAGACTCTGCAGGCGACCGCAGAGAGGCGGAATAACCAGTGGAAGAGCGGGAACCAGAGGAACAGGGCATCACAGCTGGGAGGGGCGGGGGCGGAGACAGGGCTCGTGGGGCGGGGCGTGCGGCTTGAGGGGCGGGGCATAGGGCGGAGCGTGCAGTGCGAGGAGCAGGCACGTGGGGGCGAGCGCGAGGCGGGGTGCGGCGTGAGAGGGGGCGGGGCGCGCGAGTCGGCGCCGCGGCCGCGTGACGCGTTTTCAAATCTTCAACCGCCGCAGCCCACTCGTCTGTGCCTTCCCTCTTCCTCCTCTGCGCCTTGGACCCGAGTCCGGCCCCGGAAACCGGGCGAGCTGAGGCAGTATCTCTCCTGCGTGGGTGTGGTAGTCTGCGGAAGGGGGAAGGCGACTGGCGGGTCGGCCGGCCTCCAGCGGCCGCGTTTCCTCGGTCCCCCGACGCGACACCCTTCCCGAGCCAGCATGTAGGTGTCCGGCGGCTGCCATGAACTCCGGGGCCATGAGGATCCACAGCAAAGGTCACTTCCAGGGTAGGGCGCCCCGCCTCCGCCCGCAGCCCCTTTAACCGTTTCCTGGGTCCCAGCCTCGATTCTTCAGAGTGCTCCCCTCGGGTCCCTGCTGCTTTTCTGGCCTGTGCGTCCTTCCCCGCGGCCCGCAGCGGAGCTCGCCCGCTTCAGGGGTCGCCTCTGAAAGGGAGGGGGTCCGGGCCCGGCCTTCGCGCTCTCCACGCTCCTGGCGCGGCCCGCACGTTCCAGGCGGTGCCCTCGGCTGTAAAACCCGAGAACAATGCGCGGGCCCGGGGACTCGCCGGGCTCCCTCAGGTCACGCGACTCTGTCCCCGAAGAGCAGACGCGCTCCTGGCTTTGTGCTTCGTGGTTAAGTTGGGAGGTTGCGGGGGGGGGGGGGGGGGGGGGCTTCTGGTCTTATTCTTCAATGCTCTCCACTCACAGAGCTGAGACTATTTGTGTGTCCAACACGCCGTTGATGTTTTCATATAAACAAACAAAAGCAAATTTCCATTTTCGGTCTTTTTAAGTCTGTAGTTACGTGTGAGTATGTGATACATATAGAGAGTCACTTCCAATTTGTGGACAGATTGTGTTCAAAAAGTTAATTTTTAAAGCAGTGTGGATCTCACGTCTCCTTTTAAAGGAAGTCAGATGAATGGTGAGACCCATTCAGTTCCTAAGAGATAGACAACCTCTACGTGAAGCTGGACCGTGACCAGTGCAGGGGCTTTGGGGACTAGATCATTCTGGGTAACACAGGTTTCTTGCATTGCTGAATGTTTTAACAATTTAAACACCAGTTTTTAGTGGTGTTTAAAACCAAATGGCCATGCTCCAGAAATGTTTGTTCAGTAAATAGTTTACATTCTAAGGAGTAAAATCTTTCAGTAAGGTTATATATTGTTCCCCACCTTGGTACATAAAACCTAAGCACATGACTATTTCCTTCAGACTCAGCTATTGGCTGTAAACAATAATTAGTTTACAATATAGAATTTGCTAAAATATATAGGGCCTTTTGCCATTATCCTAAGTGGCACTACAAAGAAATATGACATATTGTTGGGATAAAAATTTTCCACTCTGTAATGTCATCATTGTATAAAGCACTATTTTTAAAACAGTAGGAATTTTCTGTCTGCAAAAACATCTAATTCTAAATTTTTAAACAATAGGTGGAATTCAACTCAAAAATGAAAAAAACAGACCATCTTTGAAATCTCTGAAAACTGATAATAAACCAGAAAAGGCCAAATATAAGCCACTTTGGGGAAAGGTATTTTACATTGACATACCTTCTGTCACCATATCTGAAAAACTGCAAAAGGACATTAAGGATCTGGGAGGGGTAAGTCAAAATCGTACACTGACAAAGAAAAATTTGTAACTCGTACTTTCTAATATGTAATCATTTAAATTTTTCATTTTGGAAAACGTATAACCTTATAAGCACCAAGCTCAAAATTTTTATCAGCTGTATATCATTAAGGGAAAACCATCTGTTTTAACCTTTTATAGCATGACAAAAACTTGACGGTTTCTGTGATTATTAGTTTAGTGTAAAGTTCACCAAGTGTGAGAAGTAAGACTCTCTTGTCCTGGCGGAACTGCTATTTGCCTTCTCATTGTAATGTCGGGGTGTCTTCCAGATAGCAGGGACTCCTTGCTTATGATTATTAGGGAACTACATAAATTTGTCTGGATTAGCATAATATGAAGAATGTTACTAACAGAATAAGTAAAGCCTAAGAATTAAAATTGCGATTGAGTGATAAGATTCTCAACAGAATGAATGTCATTAAGGGAACAGAATTTGGAAAAGCCTCCTTTATTATACCTGGAGTAAATGATTAGGAAATAAGAAAATTTGGGTAAAAATTCTAAGATTTTCTTAGGATTGAGGTTAGTATTAGGTAAATTTTATCAAGTAAGTCTAAGATTTTATTAATTCATTCCCTAACTCTTCCTGTTAAAAAGGTTTCTGCTGTACTTTGAGTTTAAGGTTAATATCCTGAACAGATTCTGTTATTTCTGGAATAGAAATTAACAGAACAAGTAACAAGTTTGTTAAAATTGCTTACTGTTGCGATATTTTATTTACCTATCTTTGAAAAGCTCTTCTACTTGTTTGCTATTCATTTTAAAACATTGTAACACATTTTGTCCTAGTAGTAGCACATATAATAATAACCATGTGACTATTCCTAAAGGTCACATTTTATGGTCCATATAGACAATAGTACATCTCAAGAGTGTCTTAATTTGTTAAGGACCTTAGATGTTGAGTAAAGACCCTTTCATTTTAAAAGGTAAATACTTAAGGGTCAGGAAAAGGTACATGTCTGGCCGAGGGTAAGATTAGCCTAACTCTCAGACTTACATGCTGCTGCACCATTCTGTTCCTCTAGCAATTAACCAGTTACAAAGAGTAGCTTTCTCATATGTGGTGCATATCCAATGAACCCTTCCAATTTAAATCAGTGATTTTAGATTTGTGCGTTTAGCAGTGGAACACTTCAAACAAAATCATATTCAGAAGTTCAATGTGTAAACCAATAAAAAGGACTAGTTATAACGGCAGTATAGAAGCTACTGCAGGAACTGCTTGCCCTGTCCCCCTTTTCCTTTGTCTTCTCAATCCCATCAGTTCCTGAGGCACTTAACAGGCAACAAAAAAATGTTTAATCCTCACCTGAAAATATGTTTATTAATTTGAGAGAGAAAGAAACATCAGTGAGTGAGGTAAACATCAATCAGTTGCCTCCCACCCATACTTACCACTGGACAGGGGATCAAACCCACAACCTGGGTGTGTGCCCTGACTGAGGATCAAGTCTGCAACCTTTTGGTGTAGAGGATGATGCTGTAAGCAACTGAGACGCCCGGCCAGGGCAACAAAGTTTGAATTAACTTACGTATTAGATAAGAGAGACTTTTGGTTTTATACATTTGAAATCTTTATCCTAAAAGGGTTTGAAGTAGACCAGTGAAGTGAAGTGCATATTTTAAGGGTATAAGTTTCTAAAATTTTCCCCAAGCTGTTGATTTTCAACTAAATTTTATCTATTAACTTTATTCCTCAATTTCTTTTTGAAAAAAATTAATCAAAATTTGATCTCTCCACATACTACCTTTCCAGTAATTCAGTGATGTCCTGATTTCTCTCTGTAGCACATTATCATTTTTATCACCGAAAATGACTTTGCTATGAAGATCTCCTTGTAAACTGTAAAGGAGTTTTGACCTCTAGATACTAATTTAAGAGTTTTAGGATTGAACTTTAAATACTGTTTGGTTTAATAGATACTCCTTGAAAAAATGTGCTTATTAGTTAAATTTTTATGATTACTTAGCCCTTTTGTAATTTGTCTTCAGATTATTACGATCTTTGTCCTTTTCTATCTAAAGAGTACACTTTTGACAAATTCAACCACCAACAGCACAGCAGTGAAGTCTGACATAATAGGAAAATATCTTTAACTGTGGCAAAGAAAGTAGATGTTATGAAACTATCTAAAAAGGACATGGAACCAGCCATGTTTAGGTCTATATCTAAACAGTTTGAACTAAAAATAAGGCAGTTGGAAAAGAATAGAGATAAAAAGGCAGATACCTTGCCATAACATGAACTTGAAGACAGTTACTTGTTTGATGCTCATTGTGACATTGAATCATCTGAAAATAACAATAGCTAATAATTTGAAGGCTATGATAAAACTAAGCACTACAGGGCATAGTAATAAGTGTTATGTTACAGTCAAAAATGAATCTGATGCCCATCTTCCTTCAGTTAGGTAGAAATGGCATGGGTACAATTAATTTTAATACAACATAGAATATCAGGAAGAGGGAAATGTAATGTCCAACTGAGGAATCTTGCAGGCCATTTTGCAGACACAGTTTGAACTCAGCTTTGAAGAATGAGTATGATTTGGATGTGGAAATTCATTCAAAAATTATTCCACCAACATCTTCCATATACCAGCACTATTTTAGATGCTGGGATGTAAAAATAAGAGGTACTCTAGTCCTATAGGGACTCTTATTCTATGGGAACATCAACCTGTTACATAAATAATGTAAAGTATAACATTATGAGTACTTTAACAGAAATTAATGTAGAATTTGCCTCTAGAATATAGAGATGGAATTGATTGACTCTGCCTTTAGAAATTACACCAGAGATACAGTTTGAGTCATGTCTTCAAAGCCTACTAATATACCAGGCTGAATGAACAAACTAAGTAGAGGAAAGAACATATTCAAAATGTATATATGTGTGCTTTCTTCAAGTAACTGTTAAAATTACAATATGTCTTGAGTTTGGGAATTAGAGGGGAAATGACAACAAGCAATGTTATTTTGGGGTCAAATTGTAAATACATTTTACTACTAAGGAATTGTAACTCAAGCTATAGGCAGTGGAAAAGCAAAGTAAGTGTGTAGTACTAGCTTAAGGACAGACATATATAAGGCCACTGCAATGGAGAGATCAGAAATCAGCCCTCATGCTCTGGCTGGTATAGCTCAGTGGATGGAGCGCGGGCCTGCGAACCAAAAGATAGTGGTT